GTTAACCTCTTGAAATGCCCCCCCCCCCCACAACCCCTCATGTCTCAAAAGACATAACAGCATAGATAAACAACTGGAAGGAGGGGCTTCCTAAAACCGCCCACCCCCCNTGCCCCCCCCCCCCACAACCCCTCATGTCTCAAAAGACATAACAGCATAGATAAACAACTGGAAGGAGGGGCTTCCTAAAACCGCCCACCCCCCTCCCCCCAAGAATTTAGAAAATTTCATAAACTGATAGACTACATATATGAGCAGTTTGAAAAAACAAGTTATCATGAAATAAGATGAGGTCACTGTGCTGGGCTGTATCTCTCCATAATTGTGATGATGTGATGTTTAATTAAAGTCAACTAGTACGAAACAAACAAAACAAATTAATGAACAATTATTTTTAATATTTAAAAATATATGGAAAGATTAAAACTAATCCAAGAGTCATTTCAAAAGTATAATAAATTCTGAAAAAGAAATTCAGTGAACCCTAGCGGATTGTAATAACATCGAGAGATGTTGCGCATTGATACTTGAAGAGTTCACTGACATATATGTATACATCAATTCAAAATGAAACCATATACATGTATATAAGAATGAGCTAGGCTGACCATAATGCCAAAGAAACGAAGAGATTTAAATATGTTTGGATTCTTAAAAACAATGAAAGTGGTGTTCTATTATTTAACGGAAATCGAATAAATTTAAATGCGCAAAAAAGTAAAATGTTTTCGATTTTTATTGGAGTACATGTATAAGTATTATTATTATAAATTAAAAATACATTTGTAATTACAATCAATGGACTTTTTAAAGTAATTTATCCGAATTTGAGAGTTAGGATATTTTTAATGCAAAAATTGTGATCTAAGAATTACATCGTAATCATAATAATCAAGAAATGCCAAGCATCTGTTCTTTGTAGTGCGTTTTTTTACAATGCGAAGTAAAGTTAAAATTAATTTGATCTAAATAAACACGCAAATAACACCAGAGCGCGAAATGGCTATTTTAGCCAAAGCTCTAAGTTGCTTTGATTTAATAACCGCGTGGGACACAACTGATAATGTACTTACCCATTCTTAAAAATACAATAGATAAATATAATTGATTTCTTTTTAAATTGTTAATAAAACAAACACAAAAATGTAGCTTTGTGTTTTTAACATTTAATAAGTTTTTACATTTCATTCATTCCAAAAATATACTTTTATGGAATGTATAACCATAATAAATATGTAAGCTTTAAATATACTTGTAATAAGAAAATGCCATTTTAGACAATCAGTGCGGCGAAACGATATAGCCAAATATCATTCACTAATGCACTTATTCATCCTAATAATGACAAACCGTATGAGGAGCTAATTATGTGTGTGTGCGTACGTAGGGGCTACAATCCCGTGGATGATTTTATTGATATCTTTATTAAACTCTCTGTGTGTGTGTGTGGGGGGGGGGAGTTAAATATGATACTTTCATTTTGCCCAAGGCAGCACAAGATACGCTTCAGCATAAAGGAGTTATTTTAATTAATAAATAATTAACCTTCTTAGATACATATAGATCGGGGATTTGAGATTGGGTGTGTACATTTTTATGTGGATGACAATATCTTTAAATTCAATGATATTACGATTGTGAAAAAAGAAATGCTACTTTTTCTTTTTACACATTATAAAAATTAATGTCGTTAACAAAATTTGGGTACATTTACATAAGTCTAGCCATGAATATTAAAACCCAATAATTTTNTATATATATATATATATATATATATATATATATATATATATATATATTTGCTAAAAGTAAAGTGGGTTTATATTGTTATGAGATTAATAACATAACTATAAAAAAGACACCCAAGGCTTTTACAGAAGAGGAATATGGTAAAGAGATTCCTGTTTTGATAAAAGAATCCTTTGATTTCGAATTTTGAAAAATTATAATAGAAAACAAAGCCGAAAGTTTTGTTAAATTTTTTATGAAGTTATCAGTAAATCAATTCCGTTAATAACAAATATATTTCAAATGTTTTATAGAGTTTTTGTTCGTACATTTAAGATTAAGGTTTCACAATTGTTAGGGGAAAAAATAGTTTAGGGGCATGAAAAGTGGTAGGCTAGGCCCATCATTTTACAACTTAAAAAAAACACATTGACATCTAAAGTATTTCTCTAGCGTAAAGAACAGCCGTCATTGAACTCCTTTAATGACATAATAATTTAATTAGCGATCATGTAGTTTTGGTTAATTAAGGTCAGGTTTAGAAAGAAAATATTATACTTTAGGGGCACGACAAGGGGTAGGGGGGAGGGCGTATAATATCTAGCAGTAACATACTTCTTTTGATGCTAGAAACTTAAACGTGATTACAAATATACTTCTTTTTAAAATACGGAATATCGAAGAGTTTTTGCAATGGCAGGTAGAAACTATCGCAAAGTGCCTGCCATTGTTGTCTCGATAACATCGGGGGATATTCTCTAGTCTAAAAAGATTCAAAGAACCAAGAAAAAAAAAAGGTTTTGTAATTTTAGCGTTTTTCAAGATTCTCCTGAAATCGGCGGTTAAAATTTCCGAGCAATTTTTTTAAATTTTAAAAAAAAATATTCAGCGAATCACATTACGTCACAAATAGTCGCTGTACGCCAGGACCTAGCAGGCTAGTTAACTGCCCTAGATTGATCTGTTTAGCATTTTAAATGCACAATTCGCAAGCGTTTGCAACTCACGACCGCATTTATGTTGACATTGAATCGCGACCGCGTGTTTAAGTTCTTGTATATGAAAACATATTCACACTTGATTTTTCTGTGTAATAACATCCTCAAATGACTTATTTAATGAGGTGATTGTGAATATAACTCTAACGTTAGAACACTAAATACGAATGTTCACAAATAAAATATTTCTTAAAGTTTATTTATTTCTTTTTAAAAATTTTTTGTTCAGAAATCCCGTTGCTAGAGCAGTCAATTTTATTCCCGCGTCATTATTACGTCTGATTTTTATTTTTGCGTGGGTGTGTTTTGAAAACGATATGAAATGACATTTTATTGCATGACGCCAAAACCGTGTCGTGATCAATTTTAACTCGTCACCAGCACGCACTGGAGTCGTGCACAAACAAAAAACAAACAAAAAAATCCGCACAGTCATGATAATTACGTAAAAACTTCCACACAGAAAATTTACACCACCATAATGGCGCACGTTTCGCTCGTGTCCATGGACACCTGTGCAGACCGAACGAGTGCCCACCGCCCACTTTAACAATGAATTCGTGTTTATTGAGTGTAAACATGCACGTTTTCAAGTGTAAATGGCTACGAATAACTGAGGAAATCAATAATTGTGAGTGTTTTTTTCTGGTAGCGCGCTAAAACACGTGACACATTATCTATAAATACTTCACTAGTAATATTTATTTTTGATTTGATCATGTGATACCTTAGTGACTATGACTAAGCTTAATATTAAACGTATTTAAACAAAAAAAATTAAAATCATAAGTCCATCAGGAGAAAAAAATATGCTTAATCTTATCTAAGGAGAAGTAAATATTAGACTCGACAACCAGTACGTAGACAATACTCATTGGTAAGTTTAAGAAGGTTATTAATATCGACCAATGAAAATATCTTACAATCTAAAAATACCAATAAAGACAATAGCAGGGATTCTCAACTAGGGTGCACGGTACCTTATCTAGCACTTTTCATTCTTACTTTTAAAAAAATAAGTAAAAAAAAAAATTAATATACAAATCTAATTTATTGATTTAACAAATCGTTTAAAGATGAAAACTAAATATCATAAAATATAATCTCCGCCTGAGCATTGAAACCCAGGTGAAACGGCGTTACAGTATTACATTGATCAATGTGTTTGGATCATTTGCTATAGCTTATGTCTGCTTTGTAAAATAAGGTCATGATTGCTGCCACGATCAACACATGCTTAGGGCCAAAGATCAGCTAAAAAGCCTGGAATTTAACCGTTTCAACTAACAAACAACCGAAATGATCCAGTCAAAAATGGTTGTCGAACCGTATTCTAACTATTTGTCAAACTTCCACAATGTGGACGCTCTGGACACAAATATAATAACAAGATAAAATGATTATTGAAAAGAATATATCCAAAATTAATAAAAACGTTATGTATATCAAAGAAGAATGCTATTAGTTTTTTTAGTGAGAATCCCCATCTTCCAAAAAATTTGTTAAAATAATGTAAACAAGGTCCAATAAAATGACCTTAATTGATAATAAAAAGATGTTTTTAAAAAAACAAATTGTTTAAAAGGATCAGTACTATAATATCTGGTGTGGTCTCAAGCACGCGTTCAGGTTTGATCTACATGTTTTCGGAGACCACCCGAGGACGACCTGGAGTTTAACCAAACATGTAAGAAACGTGAAGAAGATAGCATTTGAATTTCATTTAAACAAATAATAATCAACGATCACCTACCATAATCCGATGATTAAAATCCAGAACTACATTTCTTTTCTCCCTTTTCATCAGTAATTCCATGAGCTATTTCTCTAGGTCTTTGCTGCCCATATTTTATATCAAGCGCCAATCAGTAGGGCCTTTTCATTTTTTAAAAATATTCTTATGTGTCAAACATCGGTTTTGACAGAGAGCTAAAATATTATAACTCTACTCTAGCCTTACGATTGATGACTATGAAATGATATTCTATTAATTAAATGTAACTACACAAAACATATGTGATGAGGCTTCTGCGTTGTTGTTTTTTTTTTTTAAATGATAGATTACGGAGTGATTCGAACTATGGCCCAATTATGATACCATTTGTCACGTGGGTGTGGTGGATTATTTTTGTAACATGAAAAGTGATATGGGAATTCACCATCCCTTATTTTTAATTTGATTTTTTTTTAAAGTTCTATTTCATGCATTGCGTAATGCGTGAACATCGCAGTAATTCCCCCATATATAATTCCATGTCTCAACCCAAAAATGACGCTTCTCTTACCGGTACTAATTTTTAAAACTCTATTTTGAATACTTCAGCTCTATACTATGTTTGTAAAATTGTTGGAGTTATCGTTGGAGAAGCTATCTTTTATTTTACATCTAATTTTGTTTTCCGTGTTTTCACAGAAAACTTTCCTGTACCTTGTCCGGCCGAGGCACCGAGGCAGGCGCGATGGATGCAGATCGCCTCGCCTCGTACAGCTCTGTGGTTTGGACAACATATTCCGCCATTCTGTCGTTCATCAGATTAGCTCAAGCCGGGTTCAGATATACCGGGGATGGCTTAGCAATAATCTGTGAGGGATGTGAGAAAATATTAGATATGGTGGCGTTCGTGGAGAGTGGCATCATGCTGGACCCGTCACAAATTCGTTTTCATTCTGGTGCCTGTAAGTTTGTTAATGGGGCGATGGCAGGAGATCGAAGAAATGAGCTCGATGGCTGCCATGTTGGGGTCACTGATGGGGGTTTAAACAGAGCAAGTCCGCATTTACCTGCATCTGATAGGACATTAAGCAACTCACACTCAGGTGGTGGATGTGTCCAAGTCGCTACACATAGAGACAGCCGGTGTCAAGGACTAAATAGTTCTCAACATGCGACAAATGGGTCACACGCTACTTCACAGGATGTTTTCGCGAATAACACGTTACAAGTATCGGAACCACTAAGAGAAGGACCTACTCCAAGTAAGCTTATTATTGTTTTAATTAAATTTGTATGACAACGATAGAGGACTGAGGTGTTTAAGATAACGTTTTCATTAAAACAGTATATATGTCATTTATGTTATCTTATTAATTTTATTCTTGAAATTTTACACACTTTACAATTCACAGGAATGTGTTCAGGAAATCATAGTCAGCTACCAAGCGAGGCAAGAAATGACGTCATATGTTCCGACTCACCTGAAGTTACGTCATCTGTGTTTAAAGTTTTAACTCATCCATCCTATCCGGTATTTATATCCTACAACAAGCGTCTTGAAAGTTTTACCAACTGGCAACACCATCACATTCATCAACCAGGCTACCTGGCACAGGCGGGATTTTTCTATGCAGGTAAATTTAGGTAATCTTTACAGCTTCTACATTAACACCCAAATTAACTGTGATCTAACAAATGGATATTACTCAGTTGAGTGGAGTTCCCTTCAATTTAATTTTTTTTTTCAGTGTTCTTTGTCCATGCGTTAATCTCACGTACCCTCGAAAAGAAAGGCCATGCATCAATGGGTTTATTTTTATGAACATATTTTATTGATATAATTTTTATTTGAAAATACAATTTAAACTTATATAATAGTTGATTATAAGGCTTATAATGAAATAATAAGAATCCCGAGTCGAACATCACGTTCCAACATTGCATAAGATCGAAGTAAGTCAACTTAACTTTAGAGTAGTTATTACTTAAAAGTGTGTGTGGGTGGGTTGCAGTGAAAAGAAACAAATCTTTCAAAGTCTCGCATAAATCTGCAGAATGTTAACGTTGTTCGATTATGGAAACAGATTATTGAAATAGATTATGGACATAAACCATCCCATTAAATAAATTTTGTTCACTTTATTTTGGAGCTGTTTAAATTTTCGTGTTATTTTTGTTTTTACATACCCTCAAGAATTCTTTTTATTTTTTGAAATTAAATTTAACCTTTTGTTCGAGGTTTCATCTATATATAAGTTCAAATGTATAAATAAGTAAAAATAAGATAAGATTGTTTCAATGATCCAAAGGTAATTGTTTGTTTTTTTGTTGTTGATTACTTTGTATACATACATTTTCAGCTTATAAATAGATAAATATTTTAATAAACTCCACATTTTCCAACTCAAACAATTTAAACACAAGACATATACATTAAATTATTTCTCTAGTATCCTGATTATTTTAAAATGTTTTTTTGGTTAATTACTTGTTCACTGTTATCGAATCGTGTGTCGTAGGTTACTCGGACTGTGTCCGGTGTTTCCAGTGTGGCCTGGGCCTGAGATCCTGGAAGCCTGGAGACGATGTTTATGACCAACACCGGAAGCACAGACCCTCTTGTCCATTCTTGGGGACAACAGTGAACGTGGGGACAGTTGAAGGACCAAATAGAACAGACGGGGAAAGTTCGGGAGAAGATGGTACGAACATACTACGATAGTGTGTGTAAGACGTTGTGTTATTGCAGGTAAATCTGTTATTTATAAAACGGTGTTAAAGTTGAATAACTGAGACATGCGAGGACGTGAGTGTTGCGATGTCATGGAAACTTTCCCAAATGAGAAAGACCTAGACAATGTCTATTTAAAATATTAGACGGGTCATGGAGATGCTAGATGTGTGAGTAACCTGCAAGCCTGATAAACAAAATTATCCCAATTATTACCTTTGTCAAGAATGAAGTGTTCTGTTTGAAACCTTCTTCCTGCATTTTAGACTGGGTCTAATTAGGTCAAGGGAGGGGTGGTGATAGAGAACTGTATTTAAATACCATATATTAATTTCGCTTTTGTTGTTGTCTTTTTTCTTCTTTTTCGTTTTTTTTTTTTTTTTTGGTTTCAAAATCTTCTGAAGTCTAATGACCCATTTTCCGTCATCCTATTGAGCTGAAACTTGGCACATATATTCGTTGTTGGAGACTACATATTTGATCAAATTTTCAGCCATCCCCCCGCGCCCTTTTCCTCCAACCTAAAAAAAATGTTTTTCCTGTTTTTTCAATGGGGAGGAATGTCAATGATTTGTTTAAATGGTGCGAGTTTTGGTGCCGCATTTAATCGTGTAGGTCTTTTTCGTTTTTTTTTTTTTTTTTGGTTTCAAAATCTTCTGAAGTCTAATGTCTATGTGTTTTGTATTAGTGGCGTATTTGGGATGGAGATGGCGTTGAATCCAAATAAAATGAATATAAAGGATTGATATTAAAAAAAACAACTTTTTTGGTTGGGGGGGGGGGGCTGTTTAAATTTTAAAATTACTTTTAGGCTGATGTCGCTAAAGATAATTTTGATGTTCTGCGACAGCAAAATAAATAATCCTCTTCAATAGTGACGTTCATTTAAAAAAAAATCCAATTTAATTAATGATATTCATCTATCTTCACTATTGGTTTCAGACAAGGTATAGAATTATAACAAATGGCCCCACTCTTTCGAATTTCTTAAAGCAGGGAAATGAAAAGCTTGCTTACACTACACGTGTTTAAACAGTTCTTTTGAATTGATATCCATTTTGAAGTTAGATTTAGATTAGGCGTTAAACAAAGAAACGCTCTGTCTACGTTTAAGCTCAAACGTTTTCTGACTATTAAAGAACAATTTTTTGCTAATGTAAAACAAAATGTTAAATAATTTTTCCAAAGATCTATTTTTTTTTCTTCAAATTTGACCCTTCATTTCATCTTTAACCAATTGCAGATGGCGGTATTCCCTCCACTGATGACATAACAGTAGCTCTATTAAAAAGGGAGAGTGCAAAGCTCAAAGAAAGACTACTCTGTAAGGTTTGCCTAAAGGCACCCATCAAAGATCTGTTCCTACCCTGTGGAGAACTCTACGCCTGCTCTGACTGCTCAAAACTGCTCACACATTGCCCGGCTTGTAACAAACTTATTCTAGCAACATCCAGCATTTATTTTGCTTAACTAACGTAAGGAAACGATACCAATACATCACTTTAAAAAAAAAAAATAATAATAATTTCCTTCATCTCGGTGTTGTATTCGTATAGATAGATTGTTTTGTTTTTTTGAAACTATTATGTGCACATGCATAGTTTGTAAAAAAAACTGTTGGGCTAAAACTTCGTACCCAGATTAATTTAGAAGGGATTTTTATTGATCAAGCTTTAGTATAACTCTCATCAAGCTTTAGTATAACTCTCATCAAGCTTTAGTATTACTCTCGCTTCAATTCTATAAATATGTGGAATACATTTCGAATCGGAAGTGAAATAAAGATAAGAGAAGGGGAGGGGGGGCATAAATTCCGTTTGAATAAAATTGTAATCAACAACATCACAGATATATGTCAAAAAATGCCACCCAGACAATTCATATTAATAAAAACAGAAAGTTAATATACATTTTTTTTTTTTGAGCAACATACGACTCCATTTTGTTTGATTAAACCTGGCTTTTTGTAGAGAAAACAGATAAATTATACTTTTGTGAGATAAAACTTTTGTGATGTTTCTAAAGTTGTAGAATGCTATAGTTTTGATACGGTTTATGTTATACGGGGGAACATTTGGGGACGACCACGCACCACATGGGAAAACTTGATTCGAAACTCAAAACGATGTCTTGTAAAAGAAGACTTCTGAAAACCTCCACAACCTACTTAAGTTAAAGAATTATTGGGTTTTTTTTTTGGGTTAGAATTATGGCCATGACCTCTTCCCGGACTAATTCATATTTTATATTTTCTCAAGGCCATGATTTAATCAGTGCAGAAATCGATGAGACGATGTGGATCTGAGTATTTATTGAATTTACGGTAACTTCCTAAAGCAAGAACACAACACAAGCTGTCTGAAGAAAACAAGATAACTAGCTATACAAGAAAACGGAGAACTACTTTATTAAGAACACATTATGATCCAATTATTGTATCATTATTAATTGCTTTTGCATTATTTTAATTTTTTTTAAAACAAAATTAGATTGAATTTTTAAAAATTTAAATGATTGAGATTATTTGTTTCTTTGTAAAGCAAACGGGTTGAATATTTTTTACAAACTAATTAACAATGCTTAAAAGAGTCTTATGTTTATTTGATATTAATATGCTGTCTTTTAATTGTATTCGAAATATTAAATGTTATTTTGAATTTATTATTAATATTAACGGCATTTATTATTTTTGTATTGATTTTCATAAACAAGGGATACGTTAATAAAAATAAATTATACCCTTAAATATTAATTCTTATTTTTTTCATCTTCAAATAGAAAACAGAACCAAATCATTTCCATTATTTCAACCTCTATATATCCAAGAAGGGAAACAAATTTGGTAGACAAAAAAATAAAGGGTGTTTGGGGGGTGGGGGGGGGGTGGGGGGGTCCCAAATTTCAAAATGTTAATATCATGAAAATAGTTTTTAAAAATAAATCTAATCTTAGATTTAACGAAAGTAAAATTAAATTTCATTAATGTCTTTTCAATTTATTTGTTTTAAACTTTGAAGCTATTCACTATTTAGATTTGATTCTAACAGCAATATAATCACATGAAATATAATAGGAATAAACTATTTTGTATGACTTCAAAGCATCCTATAAATTGGAATAAACCAATCAAATTAGAGACTATGCGAACATTAAATTAACTTTAAACAACATTCAACTAAGTCAGTAATTCATGTGTCATTATACTTAAGTGACTTATTAAAAATAGTTTAACCGACTTTTAGTTTAAAAAAAAATCTCCATAACAATGTGTTACTTTAAATATAATTTTTATATTTAGTTTACGTTTCCTGTCATGTGACCACATTTTTAGATCACGCGCCGGGGATTTCTTGAACCGTAAGAACACGCTAAAGCGTAGTTTCAGATTGTGGGTAAGACTCCAAAAGTAGGCCATGTTTAGTAGGCCAGTGAAGAAGTTTGAACGAATTTTTGAGACGACAAATTGTGTTTTTGTAACTAGAAATCACATGTAATCAGAGGCGTAGCGAGGGGCGGGGGGTAGATGTCCCCGGGCGCAAGCTAGCTAGGGGCACCAACATCTGCTTTTATATTATATTATTGGTAAAAATAATGGGTTTGAGAGTTGAAAAAAAGAAAAGGGGGCGCTTTAAAATGGATCTTGTCCGCGGGCGCGAATCTTGTCCACGGGCGACAAACACCCTCGCTACGCCTCTGCATGTAATGTCAAGTCCTTTTAGATTAAGTTAAAATGTTTAATTTAGGAAAGAACCTAGTATCCCAACAGTCTACTTAAAAAAAAAAAATTACTATTAATTGCACATTATAGAATTATTTTTGTTTCGTTCAACTAATTTTTTTTTTTAACCTCAAAAGGTTGGATAAGATTTAACGTTTCAATTTTAAATATAAAGCTGATAATTAATTAAGGCAATTAAACAAATCAACACAATGTATTAAAAAGTGAAGAAAAACAATTTAAATAACTTTTAAATAAGTTTGTTTAGCTGATTTTTTACAGTACCGGTAGGATAAAGCCAGATCATTTAAAAAAACACCAATATTATTAATAAATATATTAGTTCAGCAAAGAGAGATGTATTAAAATGATCAAATATGAACACAATTATCTTCTGAAATAGGAAATATATATATATATTTAAAAATGAATACCTATTTCAAATTTTTAGATTTACATTACATTGTGTTTATTGTTTATTTGTTGAGTAACGATAAAATGTATTAATGATAATTTCAAAAATTCTGGATTTGAAAATATATACATTTTCTTTAAAATAAAAATCTATAACCCCGTTTATCGTTCAAAACATCCTTACTTGTAATGTACTGATTTCATCATAGACATCAACTCTGTGGTCCAGTGCATTCGTCATGTAAAAATAAACAAAACGCAATTTGGGAATTCAGACTTTGAGCTCTGCTCCTACCACCTACATTTGTTCTTTTGATCCTTGAAGTGACATGGAGGAGTCACCCAACACGGTGACCTGGTCTTTTAACACGCAGTTTCCCTTGAGGTATTCCGCAGTACCCATTCAAGCGACACAACGCAATACAAAGGGTGGGGTGGGGGGGGATCAATAGCCCTTGGTATTTATTGGCACAGACTAATTTCTCACACAAGTGTATGACGAAAATATCTGGAAAATTTCGAATTTAAAGATCACCATTTCGTCATGAAACATTACCACTCTGCCACTTATCTATTGCGAAACGTCTAAATGGGTGTAATGCTTAGTGATTTACCATTAATAGATTGAAATAAAACATCTAGATATAGGTATAATAGTCATTGATTGATTTTCCATTCATAATTTGATATAAAAAGTCTAAATATAGATGTACTATGCGTGATGAATCGTACGTAGTTAGAAAAAAAAGTCTAAATATAGGTGTACTACTTCGTGATGAACCGTACAAAATGAGTACATCGTTAGAAAATAAAAGTCTAAATATAGTTGTACTACTTCGTGATGAACCGTACATAATGAGTACATAGTTAGAAAATAAAAGTCTAAATATAGATGTACTACTTCGTGATGAACCGTACATAATGAGTACATAGTTAGAAAATAAAAGTCTAAATATAGTTGTACTACTTCGTGATGAACCGTACATAATGAGTACATAGTTAGAAAATAAAAGTCTAAATATAGATGTACAGCCCTCAGTAATTTACAAGTACAATTTCTAAAATATAAAATGTCTGATTCCCAATTGTGTTAAATGTGTCATACGTACAGCTAGATTTTATGACTGTCGATGACTTTGACATGGCAAAATTGGGACATGTAATTGTAACTTTACCCTATAAGGAAACGGGAATTCCCACTAAACCATTAAAGCCTAAGCTATAAATAAGTATAATAAGAAACAAAGAAAGATTTCTTAATCAAATTTAAATTTAAGTATTTGTATGGCTTCTGAAAAGTAATGACTTTAGTTAAAGACATAGCAAACTACTTTTCACAGACCAAAAGTTTGAAATTATTTCAAGTCGCAGTCTCTAAAACTCATACTGGCTAATCAAAGAAACTGTGTTGTTATTATAAATTTAAAACTCGTAATATGTAATGATAAGGCAATTTCAAGCACTATTTTGTCAATTTACGGAAGGATTTGTGAAAACTGAAAAATGCATGAGGTGCACGGGCCACACTAACCAACTGTATTTATTTTTCATTAGTTCTCATTATAATTTGGATGTAGAGGTCCATATCAATTTTTCTTCACATTCTTATTATTAATATATAGGGGGACGTGGGTTGACCTTCCCAGTGGCGTAGCTAGTGTTGGTGTCACCCGGTGCGGTTAACTCATGGTGTCACCCGCTACTCCCCCCGACTAGTCGATGGATTGTTCTAGTTGTTGTTAAAATAAGTCCACATTATAATAATTTACAAGAACAAAAACAAATTAATTATAGGTCGGACGGTAAATGTATTTAAGAAATGTAACAGTAGCAACGTTAAGTCATCGTTATTTTTACATAAATTTACTTTAAAATGTTATTTTCCTGGACTTCAAAGCTGCAAACCTGCCAATCAATTGATCTAATTCAGGGATTTCAAACTCACAGCCCGTGGGCCATTTGCGGCCCGCAAGACGATCTTTTATGGCCCGCGACCTGACAACAAAGTTTAGTGTTAATGCTGCCCACGCGTTTTCCCCATTTTCATATCTATAATGTGACCCTACTTGACAGTTTCAGGCGAACTTCACCGACTAGTCTAATTATTATTTTTAATATGTTTTGTATTGACTTGGACGTTGATTATAATGGTATAACCCTTTTAAAAATCAGAATATTTTTTTAAAGTGTGTAGCTTTTTATGCGACAAACATGACCAAAGTGCGGTTTTGAGAAAACACGCTTCGAATATTATACATACATATTTCAAAATTTTAAAAAGTCAGTTAGTGGGTAATGCACAACAATAATTGAGTAAATCGTATCAATCTGACACAGTATCAAAGAATCCCTATTACAATTGCCCCTAGTGTTTACGAGTGAGGGGAAATTCCGAACCTGTCAGCTTGGTCACTTGCGCTGTCAGGTCTCTGGCAACAAGCAGCAGAGGGAAGAAAGTGAAGCCTAGTTCTTGAGGAGCCTTAATGTTTTTATTTGTTAATACTAAAGGTTGAGCAGATTGTAACAATTTTACTTTATTGAATTTGTAATCGCTTTCTTTGTAGAATACTTGATGCCGCCCAGTCTCATTTAGGCTCTGCCTCCTGCGGCCCCCGGATGATTTGAGTTTGAGACCCCTGATCTAATTCAATATCCTTCCTCGTATCAATTTCAATTGATAGCAGAGCCAAATCAGAAAGCTTTGACTGAAACATGGTGCACTCGATAAACCTTAGTTTTGAAAAGCTCCGCTCACGTGAAGCCACAGACACAGAGATCGAAAGAAACAATTGAAGGATTAGCGACAGTTTTGGAAGAGATTCTAGGGAATCCCATTCCACTATGAATTTCAAAGCATCAAATGCAGACCAGACCAAGACTTTGTAAAATTCATTATCAGCTGCCATTAGGTGTCTTCTTAGCCTTGGTATTTCTTTTAAATGTTCATAATAGAAAGAGGTTAATTTTGGAACGGAAACAATAACTCTTCTTCACTTGTTGGTAGTAGATTCTTGGTAGAATACCCCCAAAACGTATCTACAACTTCTTTGATCACTGAAGATTTGATCTGGAGTTCAGAATGAAAGCGATCAATACACTCCATCACAACCCTACTGTTTTCTTCTAACAGGGTGAGTCCAGCATCTATTAATTTTTCTCCTGTCATTCTAATCTCAAATCCATCCAAACTAATGATCTTATTGATGAGGTCAACTCAAATCTTCTTTCTGCCGAAATTCCATATTGGTACGAATTTTAAAGTGCCTTTTAAATAGCATGTTCCACCAAGTGAGGGGCGCTTCTCGCACAGAAACAATCTTAAAGCCTCCAGGCTGGTCACCACTTCGTCAAGAGTAAAGCCTTTTAAGTCTGCAGATACTGCTGTCAAAGATTAAGTTCCTCAAGTAGATCAGACCAAAGATAACGTTAGGAGATAAACATGAAATCACGGACAGCATGTAAAAGACCTTGTGCTGCACCTCTTGTATCCAACTTTTCAAGAGGACCACCTAGAGCTTAAATCGCCGCCACACATTCATCAAAACTTTTCTTTCAGTATTAGCAGCAGCATGATGTGCACTCAACGCATGTTTATGCTCTTTAAAACTCCAATTTCTCAATTTGGTGCCCCATCCTGAGATGGTGTCACCAGGTGCTGTCCGCACCTCCCGAACCCCCTTAATCACGCCACTGGACCTTCCGGTCAAAAAGAAATTATATTTAAACGCCAAAATTTGTTTGGTTCTATTGTTTATTTTAAATAATCATTCGGTGATTTATGGGTACAAACTTATTTTCTTTAAAAAACTGTTCAAATTGTAATAATAAATGATAAAAAATGGATATGCTTTAACACTTTACACAGGGCATCCGTTGTTTCTAACTGCTTCAGTTTATAACTCAGAGAATGAGATAATCCGTCAGATTTTAGTATTCTTGTTTTTTTTTTTTTGTTTATCTAAAAAAAAAAACGTCACTTTAAAACTATATATTTCATATAGGCTGTGATGTATGCCTGTGAGGCTTTAGTGACATTAGAAGTGTTAATGCTATAACATGTCATGGTGACGTAAACTTGACTAAGATGGCCATGACATCTGCATAACGATATGCTGAAATGAAAGTAAGTTTAATGTTTTTTATTGTAGTATTATACGCTGTTAAAGTTTACATTATGGTGTATACCAAAAACATACTGAATTTTTTTTAAAAAACGGAACAAACATTTGTTTTATTTTTTTATGTGGTTAACGTCACGTGAGCAATAGCTATACAGCTGAGTTTAAAGAAGTAGTCAGTCGGTCTTTAGTCAGTCCTTAGTCAGTCATAAGTCAGTCGTTCGTTAGTCAGACGGTCGTTAGACAGTCGTTCGCTATACTCACAGTCGTTAGACAGTCGTTCGCTAGTCAGTCGGTCGTTAGACAGTCGTTCGCTATAGTCAGTCGGTCGGTAGTCAGTCGGTCAACAGTCACTCGGTCGCTGGGCAGTCATTCACTTGTCAAGCACATAATGTATAGAGTAGGTAATGTCTATCGCTTTTTATGGAAAAATGGTTAACATTTCAGTTAGTTCCACTGTTTTGTAACTCAATCATCAATAGAAAATGTAGCAGCGACATTTTTTTTTTACATCTTTACCAATACAAAAACAATATTGTTTTTTCTCTTTCCTTGCCGATATCAAACGTGAATAAAAATAGAAGCACATATTTTTTTATCGTTACTCTGCCAATATATTGTATACCTACTTTGAGATTCTACTAGACGTACCGGTGGGTGAGCCATGCATTGGCGCCATGTTGTCTCCAGGTGAATAAATAATCTTCGGAAAGCTTGTTATAGTCATTGGCCATTCTGGTGAACAAGCGTCTTGGAATATATCCAGTGCAAATAAATAGGTGGTTTCCATATCGCATCCATTGTATGGACCGTATATCGAGAAGCGATGTATGCTATACCCGTCATCTAATCTGTAGGGAGGAGACCGTCGATAGTAGTATTAGTAGGTTTATAATTATTTTTGGGAGTTACCAATCAGTGATGAGCTTTTCATTACCTCTCCTGTTTAGAGGTAGTGACGGCCCCATGTGTACCACGTGCTGTCCGATTAGTAGCGTTCCTCCTCTACACATCTAAAAAATGGCCTCTCCTACTCAAGTGTTTTTGAAATGGCAACCTTAATTAAATATACCAGCCACACCAACACCAGTCCACACCAACACCAACCACACCAAAACCAACCACACCTACACCAACCACACCAACACCAGCCACACCAACACCAACCACACCAACACCAACCACACCAGACCACACCACACCAACACCAACCACACCAATACCAGGCCACACCAACACCAACCACACCAACACAAACCACACGAACATCAGTCCACACCAACACCAACCACACCAACACCAACCACACCTACACCAGTCACACCAACACCAGCCACACCAACACNTAACGATCAAACCAATCATAACGATCAAACCAATCATAACGATCAAACCAATCATAACGATCAAACCAATCATAACGATCAAACCAATCATAACGATCAAACCAATCATAACGATCAAACCAATCATAACGATCAAACCAATCATAACGATAAACCAATCATAACGATCAAACCACACCAACACCAACCACACCAACACCAACCACACCAACACACAGAAAGAAAAAAAAACATGACAAAAATAAATCAAATTCTATTTAAAAAATAGCCTACCCGTCTATGCTAAAATCTTTAATGTTGGGGTCACTTATGATGTTCGTCCATGATGAGTTGAGAATCCTCGACTGTTCAAACCAGGAGTACCATGATGGTCCTCTCCCATCAAACAGAATATACTTCATTTCGACCCCGTCGTTGTAAAGTGAAAGCTTTACCTGTGTTTTGTATACACCAGAACACATTCATTAATGAGGCCAAATTATTTGGATCATGTTGCTATTCAAAATATTTTAAAACACTCTTTTCCACTAGTAAATCGATTTTCCATTGTTCTTAACAGAGACATAAAAAGAAATATACATGTTTGTAATGTATTTTATTTACCTGATATCCAATAACACCAGCAATTTCAAAACTTGCATAAAAGATGTTTACATTTTAAACACATTAAAATAACCATATCAATATTAACCCATTAAACTCACCATATCAATATTAACCCATTAAACTCACCATATCAATATTAACCCATTAAACTCACCATATCAATATTAACCCATTAAACTCACCATATCAATATTAACCCATTAAACTCACCATATCAATATTAACCCATTAAACTCACCATATCAATATTAACCCATTAAACTCACCATATCAATATTAACCCATTAAACTCACCTTATCAATATTAACCCATTGAACTCACCTTATCAATATTAACCCATTGATCCAGGATGAAGCTCCTGAAATGTCGCGTGCATGTGTTAGAATAAGTCAATTGTAAACATTCAACAGGGATCGTCCAATCGTCAAACTCAGCTATTGAAATAATGTTAAATTATGTGATTATGATAATTAATAGAAAGAACACTTGACAGCTTAAAGAGATATGCCAGAAATTATTTACGAACGTGGGTTTTTGCAAATCCAATACATGGCCAACATTTTATCGACATATTTTTAAGCATTTAAAATGACTAATATCGTTATTTGCCACAGATGAAATTAATCTAAGGTTATACAAAATATTCTATACATATCGATATTCTCATAAATATTTACCTGGCCCATTCTTGTAAATGACGTACCAATGTGCATCCATTGTTCGTTTGATAGAACTTTCAATGATTTTTTCTTTGAATGTCACGCATCGGTTTAGTATACGACTAAAAGTCGCACTTTCACAACCTCCAGTGCAGAAAATTGCGCACCTGGCAAGGGACATGTCTAGAGAACAATTAAATTTAATTGTGAAATTTTCAAAATAATTGATCAATTTTTAAGATAATTATACTCTATTTAGATAAAGTATTTAGCTTGAAATGCACTGTCTTTCACCTTTAAATGTTGATCTAATCCGTCAGAATTATACTCTGTATTATGTTAATAATTACATCATACCACCACATTAATCACTTACCAAGTTTTGTCGTAAATTAAATGACTTAAATTTTTTAATGCTAATAACGACGTACTATTTGTCCAATCAGAGTGAGCATTTTGTTTAACAGAATCAATCTAAAGATAAATATTTTTCTAAGGCTAATTAAGGTGCAACTTGGTTTAATGAATCGTAAATTCATAAATACAATTATAATAATATCGCCATGTGGCGTCTCTAGGGGTGGCATCTGCGAGGGCGGTAAGCGCAAGGCTTCACGCCCTCCAGATGTCACCCGAGGACATCCTCCGCGTCTGGTTTCTCTGCCTGCACCCAGCTCGGGTGGTGGTTGCTATCTGTAGGCGTCATGCTCTTGTGGCAAACTTCTGTGGTGGGGCTTAGTTCTGGTGGCAAACTGTTGTGGTGGGACCACGTTCTGGTGGCAAACCGCTGTGGTGGGACTACGTTCTGGTGGCAAACCACTGTGGTGGGACCACTATCTGGTGGCAAACCGCTGTGGTGGGACTACGTTCTGGTGGCAAACCACTGTGGTGGGACCACGTTCTGGTGGCAAACCGCTGTTGTGGAACTGGTGGCAAGCCGCTTCTGTGCGACCACGTTCTGGTGGCAAACTGTTATGGTGGTACCACGTTCTGGTGGCAAGCCGTTGTCGTGGGACTACGTTCAGATGCACACTATTTTTGTAACACCTTCTTGGTTGTCATATTAGATTCTTCTGAAGCCGACTCGAGCAAGCTCTGTCAAATGAGCCATTTTCCATGGATTTTCTCGTCATCCCAGTCTGAGGTATAAACATCCCGTGTGGTGTCAACCGTTGCGTTCAGCACAACTACAGCCTACCCCCCGCCCCCCTAGCGCTACTGCAAGAGACTGCACTTAATTTTTGGAATGGGAATTAACCGACTCTTTCTTTGACATGGGCCATCTTTTGACATGGGCCATCTTTTGACATCGGCCATCTTTTGACATGGGCCATCTTACCTTCATTATTCATCATTTCATTATTTGTTAAACTTTAATTTTTAAATTCGTAATATAATATACATTCCTTGGTTTATAATGGATGGTCGTGTGGCACTCGCCATCCTTGGACAGTGGCTCAACAAAGAGATGATGACCTACTAAGGGAGTCAACCCTAAGAGAAAAATCTGATGATGCAGCCGTAACAATGAAAATTCCACCCCCCCCCCACGCCCCTGATATTCCCTAATGCTTGCCAGGTGCGTGGAGGATATGCTGACTAGGAAACTGCATGTTCCCCATTAAAAAAAACCCCAGAAAACTCAGCATTTTTTTTCTCCAAAAAAACGTTTAACAACATCGTTCTTTAGAGATGGCCAGATGCTTAGAGAATGTTTAGGCACAATAGAGTTTAAACAATCTTCTGAAGTTTTTATTTATCAAAATTGTAAATAATATTTATTATACACAGAATGCATTTCTCACATTTAGACCTGACTTCCTTTATTTGTGTTCCGTTCATCAAGGTGTATCCTATCCATGTCTTAACTCTCAAAAGACGGGAGATTGAAAAATCGGTCATATATGGCGGGTGAAAAGAACGACCCCTAAAATATATATAAAAATAATATTAAAAGGCGAAAATAAAGATTTACTATTTTGGAATGTTAAATTTCTATTTGGCAAGAAAGAAAAATCGTTTATTTTACTAGTTCTTGAAGAAATCTGGTAGCAACTTGTCCATTCATAAATTTTCCTTTTCGCCATTTACTCATATTTTGCCACAATTCCGGTTCACTGTTACTACACTCTAAAACATTGCTATGGAGTCTGATTCTGATTATAAGCTTGAAATGGACGACTATTCTTACTTAGAAGAATATTTTTGATGAAGATAGCACTTCAGATGTGTCTGATACCGAGAATTCTGTAAATTATCATCATAATAATATCATCCAAGGTTTGTTTACTTTTTTCATTCATACTCAACTCACGCATACTGTGATACTTCTTAGCACTATTATTAGCCCTAACATTAGTTTTATTCAAGTTCCAGTAGTATAAAATTCTGGTAAAAGTGCAGTTCAGGTGCGTATATTATTTCTTAGCGCATTTCGTATTTTAACATTTTTTATCATGTAAACTTACGTGTATTCTTTAATAATTTAATACAGGCAGTTATAGTTAACTATTAACTAATTCTGGATTATAAATCGTTTAAATCGCATCTTTTCTTTTCATTTTGCTTCTAAAGAGTCTTTTAACATCCCCCAACCAAAGTGACACAGCCCCCATTTGTTTGTATTTTTCTTTTTACGCTATGCCAGATTTTTAGCCACCTATAAGTTAGTATGCTAAACGAAATTTTCAAACTAAGCATGTTCACAAAAAAGAATGAAATACTAGATTCTTCATTACGCACAAGCGCCCC